AAAAAATGAGTATTGACAACTATTATTAACTTTACATGATTTTTATAGCAACTACCCAAACCTCATTCTACAGTCGTTAATAATATCTTGATTTTTTTTTATAAGATAAAGCATTATTAATCCTTATTAATTTCTGATTGGTAATGCTATTATTTACTGTTTTTACTCTCATTCTAAGGCCGCTTGTAACAATATCTTTAATTTTTTTATTGGAAACAATGATTTTGACTAGTTTTACTTCGGGAAACCCATCTTCTGAACAAGTGCTCTATCTATAGCATTACGGGAGTGCAGTAGAAAGGAAATAATTTAAGGTTAACGATTAGGAAAAAAAAATCTAATAAACAGCCACACAAGTTGTTGGGGAATATATTGTATTTCTGAATAACGATATATTTGATTGGGTCAGCTGAAGGTCACAAGTCCCGATAAACAGGAAACAGAAGAAGGATGTAGTGAACTTGTGTGACTTTTCATTTGCCCGTAGATTAACGAATCAGCAATTAGCGAGATTTCCTAGTAAAAAAAGGAGTTTTGCTCTCCAAAATTTTACAGTGTGAATTTTCGACTTGAATATATAATCTGTGATGATGACTTTTGGCGATCTTCAAAAATTTAAATTCAATGTCAATCTTTGTCTATTGACTTCTTGATTCCTCTTCTTTTATTGTTCTTGCTCCTTAATAATGTTTCTCTTTTTTCTTATTCTTTCACACTCTGTAAGCTCTTGTGTCTTAGTGGCTTTATTGCCTTGCTTGGAGTGAAATGATTAAAAAAAAAACGAGAAACAATTATTTAGTGTTCCGCAAACTGATCATTTATTACACTAAGACAGTTGGTCTCAAACCTTATGAAGACGGGCACACTTGAAATCCTACATGAAATAATTGTAGGCGCACTATATACAAATTTCAGAAAAATATGTTATAATGAAGTCAAATATTGCAGAAGAGAAATAAGGCAATAAAAAAAATATAAAATATCTTAAGTTTATTCATTCATGTATTTATGAGAAACATGAAATTGATGAAACTTAGCGATTTCTTCAATGTTTGGGCAAACTCTCATTTCCTCGCTAATACATTGAAGATTTTCTCTCTTTTTGCACTTAATTGTGGTGGGAGCAGAAAAGCCTAATTCACATATATATGAACGAGGCGGGAACCGTAATATAATAAAGTAAATATATTTATTTCTTATATCTGGACACATATTTCTCCGGAATAAACATCATTGCGCCCAGACACACCATTTGAGAACCACTGAACTAATCTTTAAGTCGATATAGCGATAAATAGTTCAACCTAATTTGTTCGGCTCTGTTGTTCTTTATATAACAACTATTCAACTGCCGGACTCTCAGGCTTTCCTCTTTTGTATTTTTGAATATCGATTTTTGTTTTGATGACGTTGAGCTTCCCTACAAAAGACACTCAAGGAAGCGGCCGAAACGCTGTGTTAAAGGTTACACTGAAGACATGGAAATTGGCCAGAACATATCAGGATTCAAAGGGTAAACACCTTTTTTTTTTTTTTTTTTTAAAAAAAAGAAACTTTCAAGATAGATAGATAGATAGATATACAGATCTCAAAAGTAACAGAAGGAATCTTAATAGCTCGCAGAACGCATAAAATGTCACTAGGGCGGAGAGTTTAAAGTGGAATCATTTCATAATGACAGTGGCCTGGAAATTCTATGAATAGAGAGAAATTATATCAACAGAAAGACAGGTACGGGAGGAGAGCATCCAGAATCCAAATTGCAGAGTTGGACGCCCTGCTATGTCTTAGCTGTTAACTCGGGGAGATGAAAAATGTCATCGCATTTTCTAACCTCTTTCGTTTAGTCTTGTTCCTATTCCTATCTCCACTTACATCCCCGAAATTCTCTCTTTTAAATTATTTGGCGTCCGCTTAAAAAATAAAATAAATGGATTTTGCCTTTGTCGGTTGGTACTTGCAACTTTTATTTGTTTATATATTTTCTTTGTTATCGTCTTATTTAAAGGATAATTTAAAGTCATTGTATTTGTAATCTGTCAGCGAGTGTCAGATTTATCGAGAGAGGAATGGGGGTTAAAAAAAAGAAAAGTAATTTTATACACTTAAGTGATTTTGACATAATGATTTTAATAGGAGAAAATAACTTTTGAAAAAAGGTCGACACTGAATAATAACAGAGGTGCGAAGGGCCCCACCAATTAACAGTTGAGGAACGTCATGTGTCCATCTGTGTATCACCGACACTATTTGAGACAGTTTAGGAAAGGCATGAGTCCATCTCATATATCCGACCCTATTTCAGACTGTTTTTGAGGCACGAATCCAGCACGTCTCTCCGACCATATTTCAGAGAGTTGAGAAAAAGCAGGAGTCAATCTCGTATATTCCATCCCAGTTGATGACTGTTTTGTAGGCATGAGTTCATCTCGTATATCCGATCTTATTTGAGACAGTTTAGGAAAGGCATGAGTCCATGTTTATATATATATATATATATATACAACAGGCAAAAAGGTTGAGTTCACCGTGCATTTCTTTAAAAAAATTCTTTAAATGACATATCTTTGCATTTTATTTAAGTAAAAGATACAATTACATTGACTATAGTGTATTTGCTTTTATTTTGACAAAAATATGTACTTAAATATAGAAACCTTATCATATTTTGTTTTCGTCAATAAAAAAAACTCCACCTGCCTTAATTAGTGCTTTACAAATTCTTGAACATTGTTTCCAAGAGTTTTTTTTTTTTAAAGTAAATCGCAGACCTTTCCAAACATTCTTCAAACACTGAAAAATTTCACTCCCATTCTTTGAGTATTTTATTCGAACTCTTCTATCCAATTAGCCCCATACTAATTCAGTGGGTCCAAGGTCAGCAGATGGAGGCAGCGAAGGCATAATTTTTCAAAATATTCTTTTTTTTTTCACTCGAGGTAATTTTTACATAATTTAGAAGAACGTTTTAATCGTTGTCTTGTTGAAATTTCTTTTAATTTTTTTTTCTAATTATACGTAAACCAGATGCTATTACAAAATTGAATGATATTGTTCTTTTTATGTTTCCCCAGTGATCTCAAAATGTCTACTGAGAAGTTAATGGTGAAAGAAACAAAATATGTTTCTCATACAAAATATTCATAATTTAGCAAAATGTACTGTGAAGAGACTAATCCAAATTTGAACCTTTTGTAGCAAGAGGAGCCTGGAGAATGACTGAAAAATAAAAGCAAATTCAATATAGTTACTGAAATTTTAGCTGTTACCACCAACATATCTCATTTTCAAGTTGTTTTTTAAGAAATGCAGTGGCCCCAAATTGTCTGCTTGTAGTGTAGTTAAAGGATAATTCATAATTTAGAAATAAGAAGAGAATAAAATTAGCTAATAATACTAAAACAGAACAATTAGAAAAAAATCAAAATATTTTTATAATGCGTGATAATTTATTCCACGCATGTTCAATCCTGTTATCACTAATACATAACTCGCTGTTTCTCTTTCGGATAACCATGAGTACTGTCTTCTTTCGGTTGATAGTTAGTCCTTTCTTCATGTTTTCCCTTATTGCCTTGTTTAATAGTTCTGTCAGTTTTCGTTCTGTGCCTATGGTCAAGATGGCGTCATCTGCGTATCTTATGCTGTTAACGCTCTATCTACCGATAATAAATCCTCGTGCGTCTTTTAATACTCTTAGGATGATCTCACTCCATAGATTCGAGAAAATACGTGCTTGTATATCACTTTTTATTTTCGGGTTTTCACTAAATTCATTCTCTCTCAATCTTTGCATGCCAACTGTACCCAGTACAGATGAGATGCAGAATTAATTTCAACTTTACCGACCTCGACGCGAATGAGTCCGAACTTTTATTGTCAGTAACTCCAAAACGGTAGATTTTGTCAAAATTTCTTTGTTATTTTCGAATTAAGCATCTACATTTACACCTAAATGGAAGTATTCGGCAATTTTTTTATTAGAAAGCGGGGCTTGAAATGCAAATTACCCTTTTGAGGTTCCGAGTTGAAATTATTTCTGTCACCCGTACAGATTGTTTGAATATCCGCGTAGTAAAAAAGATTTCCTAATATTTCAAGGAGTTTATCGAATCCCTTTGTGCATACTATGAAACTTACTGCATTTTTTTTTCCTCTAATAACACACTGACCATAAAAAAATTGTATTTCTTGTTCCAGTATCTTAAACGAAACCGCATTGTTCCGGCTACTAGATATATTCATTAGAATTCTAATTATTAGTCGAGAATAAATACAAAATTATTTCATTTTTAGTTGATTCTTTTATAAAGAAATGCAGGGTGGTCCCAAACATTTTGCTTGTAGTGTAATGCTTCGAAAACTTCGAGGAAATATGAAGAGTTTGGTTCATTCATTAAGTGTCCATGTCTTGAACAAAAAAATAAACAAAGAGCATCAGCATCTATCATTTTTTTTTTCGAGGAAATCATTTTCCCGCCTTACATTCCCCGAACTTTGGGATATCATCTGAAATAAAGGCACAAATAAGCACTGCAGTAAGCGCAAAATGCTTGATAGGGGGTGGGGGTTGGGGTTAAGAGAGGAAGAAAAGTGATGTCGCAAAGGGCAAATATCTAGACATTTCTTTGTTTGGTGTAATATTGCAAGTCGGTATGTTGGTATTCTTCTACGAAGGTGGGGAAGGACTATCCCCCGCCTTGTTTTTGCAGTGAATATTAAATTTAATGTGTGTGTGTGTGTGTGTGTGTGTGTGTGTGTGTATGAGAGAGAAAGAGAGAGAGAGAGAGAGAAGCAGGAAAAGAGAGAGAGAAAAAAACAGAAAGCAACGTAAGCTTAATTTGATACACCGAATTGATTAGTTCATATGATGCTTCTGATTAATTCATTTGCTCTCTTTACTTATTCTGTCTCTCTGACTGTATTCATTTCTTTTATGCTCTCTCTCACTCTCTCCCCTTTTCCTTACTCACACAAACACGTTTCTTTCATTTCTGATAATGAATAGAGTTCAAGTCTTGCCGAACTATCTATCTATCTATCTATCGCATATATTTCATTATCTATCTATCTATCTATCTATCTATCGCATATATTTCATTATCTATCTCAATCTGTTCATAACTAAGACTTTTCATAACTATCTATGTTCATTCATATCTATCTTAATTTATTATCTATCTGAATCTGTTCATAGATTTTCTACCTACCTACTTATCTATTTCAGTCTGTTCACTATCTATCTATCCCAGCCTATTCATGTCACTGTATTGCATATATTTTATTATCTATCAATCTATCTCAGTCTGTTCATATCTAAGACTTTTCGTATCAATCTATCTATGTTCATTCATATCTATCTTAGTTTGTTTATTATCTATCTGAATCTGTTCATATATATCTACCTACCAACCTATATATTTTAGTCTGTTCAATATCTATCTATCTCAATCTATTTTAATCTCTCTTTCTCTCTCTCTATATATATATATCTATTGAACATTAAATAATTGTATTGTGCCCTTTGTTTACATCAGTTCGAAAGACACAATTAAAACTTAGAAATAGGTCACATGTACCTTCCATTGCATTGCTTGTTTGATATCTATCTATCTCAGTCTATTCGTATCTATCTATCTATCTATCTAACAAGCAAACAATGCAATGGAAGACCTAGACTAAGTTGTTTTAACTGTACCTCCCGAATTGATGTAAACACAGGGTACAATGCAATTCTTTAATATTCAATTTTTTTTTATTTCATGAACATCGACAGATTGTTAAGACATCGACAGCAGTTTCTCACATTCATCGTTTCAAACAATTTCCTCACAGCTATCATAACGTCGCTGTGTTTTTTTTTCTCACTCATTCAAGGGATTCTCATTGAAATAATCCCAGACTTTGTACTTTTATTATTTCAAAAATAAATCTGCGTTTGTCTGATCAGATAATGGTATTTGATTGTCTCTGATACGCTACTGAATGCATAAACTCAAGAAGGCAACAAATACATAAATATCAACTTCTTCGTTTTAACTAACCTAGATTCCCCATTTTTCTTTTCTTTTTTTTTTTTTTATTCTTTCTGGTTTTTAATGACAAACCTACTTCCAGACACTTCTCATATGGTCCTTCGTGTCTTGCCAAGCCTTGTTATACGATACGATATTTGCAAAACGAGCGTATCATTAAGTTTCGACGAGTAAAACGAGCGGGAAATTTTTTCCCTGTGTACATTTCTTTCTTTGTTTCGTTTCATTCTTTCTTTCATTCAGTCATTTTCCTACCTTCTTTCTTTCTTGCTTGCTTTATTTCTTTGAGTTTAAATAAAAACAGAGATAAACAAACAGATATTCAATTATTCTCTTCTTTTAAGAAAAAGATGTTTCGCTGCAGATAAAGACAGAATTAACAATAAAAAGTTTCGGGGTGTAAACGAGTAGGATATTTCTTTCTTTCTTTCTTTCTTTCTTTCTTTGGGTGTGTACAAATACATAACACGCAAATATCCTCTTCACATCAAAGCAAAAATATCTAAGAAAAACATTGTTGACTAACAATAGAAGAAATTCAGCAAGTGAAATGAAAGGGATATTGGGTTCTTTTCCTTCTTTATCTCTTTTTTAAATCTATTTTCTTTCATTCATTCCTTCTTTCTTTCTTTCTTTCTTTGACTTCATATTTTCTTACTCAACCAAAGCGATAATCCAACAAATAATTAATCCTATTCTTTTCTTCCTTCCTATCATTTATTTTTTTTCTATCACTTCTATCCTTTCTTCCTTTTCTTTCTACCTTTGTTTGGTTCTTTCTTTCTTTCTTTCCCTTTGCTTGTTAGTTTGTTCTTTGTGTCTTTGTTTTTTCTTTCTTTCCTTTTCAGTTCTCTCATTCGTTTATTTCTTTAATTCATTTCCTTCTAGTTCTATCTTCCTTTTAGTGCTTTTATTCTTTCTTTCTTTCTTTTTCTTTGTTCCTTTCTTTTCTTTCATTTCTTACTGTCTTTATTTCCTTTCCTTTCTTTCGGTGAGTACTAACACACAGAGAAGCATAAACACAGATATTCTAATGAAAAACAAAGAAAAAAAAGGCATTTTTAAAGAAAATTATTCTTCTCTGCAGATCGAAAAAGTATTAATAAAAAAAATGAGTTCTTTGGAAACAAAATATAAAATAACAACAATAATACAATAGACTGGTTAAATGTCACAGTCACCTATGCAGATTCTCCTTGTGCCTCTGTGCATCTGTAAATGTGCAAGTGTGCGGATTTGCATTTTATATGACTCTTCATTTCAAAATTTAATCACGGAGGTGGATGACGAATTTTCATTTCTATTTTGTAATTTTAAAATCATAATGAAGGCAAAAAAAAAATATTCAAGTTTCTTCTGTCAATATTCATTACTATTTATTTCATGTTTTTGTTTACTTGTTTTTGTGAATCTCCCTCTCGCACACACACACACACACAGAGATCCACCCCTAATCGTGGAGATTGGGTTGGGTGGATATAAGTTACGACATATCAAAGCTGGTTAGATTTTTCATATCGAATTTTTAATTTTCTTGTATCTATTGGTAGACAATTTTCAGATTTACACGTGATTTCATAGCTAGATATAGTTCGATATATATATAGGTAGATATATACCTGAGACAATAGGGTGGTTGTGTGGATGTTTGAGTCTACAATAATGATTCCCAAAGTGGGGAGCATGCCCTACCGGTGGGGCATGGTAATATTTGGGTGGGGCATGCGTGCGATGTGCACCCTTCGGCTTACTATACAAACGTGAACTCAAATTTCATTTTGCATTATTATTTCATGATTAAAATGATCAAAGTATATTACAGAATAAGTTTTCATTCAAATATTTTATATTTCTGCCTCTTTTGTTCTCTATATGTTTTGAAATTATATATATTTAACTGCATTTTTTTTTTAATTTTTCTTTTTCACGGACGCCATAGTCTTTGGAGGTTTGTTTAGAGACCAAATTACTGTGTGAGGAACGAGAAGACTTACCTCCCGCAAAGCGAGTTTGCTTGGCGTGTCAGGTCCTGTTGAAAGATCGCGACAGACATTAAAAGAGAAATGGATTATTCCGAAATTCCCATATCGCGGGCAAACGTACAAAGAAAAAAAATTAAAAAAAAGACTAAAAATTCAAACCAGCTTGAATTTATAAAACCGGAAGTCTCGGGCGAACGAGAAGTAAGTCTCGTATGCAAATTTTAGTTGCCCCCCCCCCGACGCGGGCATAAATAGTGAGTCTGAGAGGAAGACAGGAAGATGCATCGTTGGCGTGACGGCGTACGTACTAATGAGACTGAGAGAATAAGAGGTCACTAACAATATTTCAGTTGGTAGACCGGATGAAAGCAAGCACATTAATCCATTTCAGTCATCGCAAACGACGGCCGAACTGAATTACCCACATAATGGCCTTTTAAGTTTCTTTCACGTGAATTGCAATAACATTTTGAATATGTAAGAATTACAGGGGACACTAGAATTTTAGAAATACCAAAGTGGGGCATGGCCCCAAATCGGTTGGGTACCACTGGTCTATAGATATGTACTGTACTGATGCGGCATTCACCCTGGGCGGATTGAGCCGGCTTCTTCCTATTATGAGAAGAAGATTCTTGGGATAAATTAGAGAAGTAGGGTACCCAGGCCTACTCGGATAACGTTCTTGCTTGCCGCGGGGTTCCCACAGACGCAGAGACAGGAACGACCAGAAGCCGCCGGTTACCGATGCAGACGCTCCTTGGATTTTCACCAGAGCCCTTGTTAGCCGGCGTGTGTGTCAGACCTGTCCGCCTTGGGTGGCCCTACCAGAAACGAAGTTCCGGGCGGCATAGCTCTGACACTACCGTTTACACCCCCCCACCGACTGTGAGGTAAGGGTTGGACTTTGGGGGCTTACAGTACCAGGTCCCCCATCTAAGTACTGACCTGGCTCTACGCTGCTTAACTTCGGTGATCGTACGTGTTTCAGCGTGATTTGACCGTAAGCTTCTATAGCTTACGGTCAAATAGATTAATAAGCTTCTATAGACCGTAAGCTTACGGTCAAATAGATTAATAAGCTTCTATAGACCGTAAGCTTCTATAGCTTAAGGTCTATAGATATGGGCCGGGTCTATACTTGATTTTTATAGATAGACATCTGTTGGTTTCATATTACATACTGTAGGTCTATATTTTCTAGGCCGACGTATGTCGGGTTTATACAAGATTCTGTAGGTAGACATATGCCGAGTCTATGCTTGATTCTGAGGGCAAATGTATGTCATGGTCATACTAGATTCTATTGACCTATATATCTAAGATGAGTGATTGTAATTATTTACACTATTTACATTATTCGAACAGTTGTCCTCATCTTTGTTGCCATATTCACGACGTTTTGGTCGTTGTACGCCCCGGTCTTCTTCAGGTGATTAGAATATTGAACCGAACACTTTATTTCGTCCACCGGGGTAGATTGTTCTAGTTCCGTGTTCTATGCCACTTCCGGATGTCTCAATTATCTCCCTTTAATTTAACTTCCCAATTTTTTGTTCTCCACCGCAGTAGCCAGTGTTACAGCTTTACGATGTTCTTGCAGTCTTATCTTGAGAGGGCGGTCTGTTTCTTCTTTATATTTCTTACCACAGCTGCACGGGATGGTGTACACACAGTTCTTAGTCATGTTCTCCTCTATGGGGGGATTTTACTGAACCTTTCTTTTAACTCATAACTGTTTGGGTTAAGTTAATGGATCCAACTAACGCTTTTATCCACTGGACCATGTATTCCTGATGGCATCAGTGTGTGAATTTTGGTAGATATAAACTTAACGGGTCATTTATCGTTTTTACCAGAGCTCATTTTTCAACTTTTGTTGTTATTATTGCTTTTCGCTAGCGCTCCCTATTACTGGTTCCCATATTTGTATTCATCTCTATGCTTGGTCGGCTTAGGAGATTTTTGTGGCCTAGAATATGTTCCGATTCCTTAAGTTTTCGTATTTTCCGTGATGATCTACATTTTCCCTACATATGTGGTCAGATACGCCTGATTTTTTTTATTTCCTTTCGTGTTACGGCTTTACGATATTCTTGCAGTCTTATCTTAAGGGGTCGGCCTGTTTCTCCTTTATATTTCCTACCACAGCTGCACGGGACGACGTACACAGTCCTTAGTCATGTTCTCCTCTATGGGGGAAGTCTTATTTGGAGAAAGTGTCTGCAAAGTGTTGAACGACTTTTGAAGGTCGTCCTGGTGTTATCTGGATCACAGATCTTTTGTATTTTTCTGATAATCCCTTCACATAAGGTAGGAAGACTATTTCTGAGTATTGTTTTCTTCTTGTGCCTTTCTGTCCCTGTTTGTCGTAGCTGCTGCCATGTACTTAAGTTAGTTGTGAAGGCAGTAATCAACATCAGTCAACACCAGCTGTGTGCCTCTGAGGAGTCAGTATTGAACAAGGATTTCATCTTCCCCACAACCAGCAGGCGAATACCATACTTAGACATCATTGCCCGAATCGAGGAAATAGCCTTGAACATTTCTCAGGCTCGGGTAGATGAGCTAAGATGTAAAGTGAGACAAATACTGGAAAACGCCATGCCGCTCAAATCAAATATCATGAAATTGAAGAGGCTGGCAATCAGAACCCCACAGAGGAATTAAATCATCAGCATACTACGAGCTGACAAAGGTAAATCGACTGTAGTTTATATATATATATATATATATACACAAAATATATAGAAAAAACTGGAATATCTCATTAGAAATGGTAGCTACAGTAAACAAGGAACGAAAACTGTCGCAGATCCTAATCAAGAACATGGACCACTTCCCACCTATAACATACAGGCAGTTGTCGCAACGTTACACCAAACTACCTTACGTATACAGTCTTCCCAAAATTCACAAAGACTTGTATTCCGCCCAGGAAAATTGTTAGCTGCCAAGGCTGTGTGTGCCATCACCTGAGTCGCTTTCTTGTGGATATAATTGACCCATTTATCGAAAAGTCACTTTCATATGTCTAAAACTCTGCCCAATTCGTGAAAATAATCAATCCAACCAGATGGATGTGGTGCGTTTGTTCACCAAGGAAACAACGGAGAAGACACTATCAGTAGACAGGGACAGACTGGCCACAGACTCATCCCTAGGAGAACGGACCAGTATACGAATAGATAATCTGATGGAGATGCTGAATATCTGTATACGAACGGCACACTTCGGAATGGGATCAGACATATGTCTACAACAATGGGTTCGCCATTATCACCAGCAATGGCAAACATATACATGGAATACTTCAAAGAAACGGCATTAGGCTTCACATCAGTCAAGTCTATCATATAGCTGAGATACGGAGATGGCAACTTCATACTCTGGCCACACCAGGAAGGTGGCCAGCCACTACTAGACCATGTGAACTCAATAAGATCATCGATACAGTTTCCAAGGGAGAGAGAAAACGACAACAAACTGGTATTGCAAGATGTAATAATATTTCGAACAAAGCATGTGTTCAAGACATCCGTATACCGCAAGCCAACCGGACAGTACCTCAACTTCAACTCCCACCGCCCATTCAATGTAAAGAAAGTAATTGTGCGCTGCTTAAAACATAGAGGAAAAGTCATAAGTGGCGACCAAGAGACATATGAACAAGAAATGGTCAGTATAAGCAGTACCCTACAAAGTAACAACTACCCTGGGTACATGGCAGCAACTCCAACAAACTGGGTATATAACAAAAATCAGGAAACACCTTCGGTCTGTCTACCCGATGTGAAGGAATTATCGGAAAAAAAACTATGGTCCATGTAAAATCAGGGCAACTTTCAAAAGTGGTTCAACACTTCGCAGTAAAACCCCGCCCCAAAGAGGAGAACATGCTTAAGGATTGTGCGTACGCCATCCCAAGTAGTATTGAATTCACAACTCTTTGGGTCCTGTCACTGGAGTTAGTTAGATCCAGTGGAGAATTTCGTTAGAGGAAATAACTGATA